TTCACTGCATCATCGAATGCTCAAATATCTGAGGAAGGGGTTCCAAGGAAAACCAGGCATTTTTTCCAACAACAGGCAAAACCTGTCAGGCCATGGAACAGAGCCTGGCTTCCCCCTGCCCTTTTTGGAGGGGGCAGCCTGGTGAATGTTTTACCAATCACAGGACTTTTCTAGACAGAAAAAAAGTCCTTTTTTTTTCCCCCTCCCCTGAACTTGTCTAATGTTACTGCAAGGAGAGTTCAGGAAAAATCAAGGTGCTAAAGGAAAAACGATTCCATATGCATTAAGGATATATGTTTACATATGTCCTGATCAATATCGTGGGTTCCTCAAATCACTGCCTGCTGTTGAAGGCTCCAGGGCCCGGTTCTCCCGAGGAGCCCATGGAAGCTAAGGAAGATCCTGCCTGTGCTTGTTTGATCTGAAACATAAAATCTCTTAATGTGACCCCTTGGAAAAATACTGGGGAAGGCAGCCAAGAGAAAAGAAAAGCTTCCCAGAACGAACATTTCTGGCTCTTTCAGTTTCACTGAAAACGGCACATCTATAAACAGCCCCGGTCTGTAAGTAGGGCAGGGAGGAAGGGGAAAGCAGGGAGAAGTTGCCCGGCAGAGCTAAAGTTCCTGCCATGCTGGGGGAACGAGCCTTGGCTCTTGCTGCAAGCCGGGGGCTCCGGATGCTTTGTTTCCATCCGAGCCCACAGCTGGTGGGAGCCCAACATCCCATGTCCATGCACGGAAAAACCTCATGGTGCATTTGCTTTCCACTCTGGAAACTGGACCCACTTTGCTCACTCTAACCAGGGTGCAGGGAACGTGCACCCACCTTCTCAACGGGGACAAGACCCGTCCTGCTGCGGCAGGTTGGCGATGCCAGTGGCAACGTCCACTTGCAAGGACAGGAACGGACTTTCCAGTGCCAACATTCTGCATTCTGCCTCAAAACACGCGCCAGGTCCTGCAGTTGCCCGTCCTGCCTTCCCAATGAGCCTTTGAGGGACAGAGTCACCGCAAGAGTCACACGAAGCCTCCCTGCAGCGGGCAGGGAAGGGGTTAAGCGAGTTCCTGCTTTCTTGCATGCAAGCGTGCGCGCACACACATCTCTGCAGGCCGGTTACTCTACTGCTCTCGTGGGAATTAAAAATAAATAAATAAACCCCCCACACCCTTCTTTTGGAGAACACTTCCCACTCCACCCACGACACACTCGAGCGCTTCCATCTCCAATACGAGCTCCTTCTGGATGCCCAGCGAGCTCCCACGCAGCGCTCGTCGGAAAGCCGAGACGCGGGACAAGGGGGGATCTGTTCTGCCGGCTGCTTCCTCCGGGGATTTGTAAATAAACAGGACGCCGTGCACGGACACCGCCAGCCCTGCAAAGCTCTGCTCTTCCTCCTCCTCCTCCTCTCCCTATCACTGCGGGGATTCACCACCAGAAAGGAAAACACCGATTCCAATTCCTTCGGGGATGCAAAAAGTCAGCAGAGAGACAAATATACATATATAATGTGTGCGTGTGTGTGTATACACATATATACATACATATATGTAAATTATATCACAGATGGAAAAAGCTGCTGACCCTGCAGGTTGGTTGCAGGAGGGAGGGTGTTTAGTTGACTTCGCTTGCAATGGCACCAAAACGCAGCCAGATAGCACAGTTTTCAGTAATCTGTATTATTTCATATATGAAATCCCATCCCCCTTAAGCTAGGATAAAAGCAGGCATCCAGTTTTAAAGGCACGTTGTAAAATACTGCCATGCATGATGTTACAGGGGCACCCGAGGGAGGAAAATCCAAGGGGGAAACAGCGCCAAGGCCACTGATCCTTGGTGGGAACATCTCCATATTCCTAAGTAACACCAAGACTGCTATCCACCTCATATCCACTCTGGAAAATGAGCAGAAAATTTGCCTTTTTTCTACCTCTTTGGCAATGGGGTGTGTGTTTTTCAGAGAGGGGCAGGGTGCTGAAGACCCCCACCTTGTAGAGAGCTTGGATGAAATCGTCCAGAAACTTGGCACGTCGGGACAATTAAACACACACCAGGAGAATGAGGAGGAGGAGGAGGCTCATAAACAGCACGCTCCACAGGCTTAGGAATATTTGAACTATATTTCTGAAAACAAAAATCGTATATCGCTGCAAGTGATTGAAAATGAGTAACTCTAATGAACATTGCTACCACCATGCTGACTAATAGAGTGATAAAGAGCTTAATCCATATTTATGTACATCTTATCCCGCTGTAGTCGGTGCCAACAAATTAGCAAGTTCAATAAAAGCTACGTTTTGTATCACCGCTATTAAACTTAAGCACATCAGGGACAAGCTACCCTAGCAAGGGCTGGGTGCAAAGCACCCCTGCAGAACACCCCAGTACTCACCCAAATCACAGACAAGGCTGCACTAAGAATAGTTTTTGCCCTCAGAGCCCTGCACACAATAGTGTTTCTGCAGAAGTTATTTCTATTTTTACATATATAATATATACACACTTTTTATTCTTTGTGCATATAGGCTGTGAATGGTTTAAGGTTGCCTTTTCATTCCCTTGGGTAATTGGAAAACGCTGCATGAAAAATGACAAGAAACATGATGCATCTCTTTGGCAAGCGCCTGCTCTTGCCCATTACCCAACCGGCCGCGGAGGCAGACGCGAAGCTTCCCAGCTCCGCAGGGATTTCAGCCGGAGAAGCCCACACGATTCCGTCCCATCCCACCAGCCTGCTGGAAGCCAAGCAGCAGTTACTACCCCAAGCCTGAAACGCAAGCGAGCAGCAAAGACAGGGATGAAATCCACACCTCTGGATGCTGAATTTTGACAAAAAAATTTGCAAAAAAAGAAAAAAAAAGCAGTAGCTTCCTCTTGCTAAGAAACCCTGGGAAAGCCTGCGGATCTCAAATGGAAAAATCCCTTTGCATGGGGGTCAGCAGCACATAAGCAGCTCCGACCTCTGCAGCTTTACTTGCTAATTGCATTGCAGCAAACCCAAATGCTCTTAGCAACGCTGCCTAACTGGCCTTCTGCTTGCAGGAGAGGAATAACTACTTAAATAGCATGCGAGGAGGAAACACCCAACAGCCCTGCACTAAGCCTCCTCTGTAATTAAATGGTCAACTATTACTATTGCACCGTTCGTAAAAGCCTCTTACATGGCATAAGTGGCTGGTAACCAAAAAGTGCTATTGATCCAAGTAATGAATGGCTACGCGGAGAATTTTTGTGTGTGCGAAGGCTGCGTTTGGCCAGCGGGAACGTAAATTAAAGGCTCCTTTCTGCTCTCACAGGATTTGTAGGATTGTGAGTCAAAACAGAAACTCGCTTCGGTCAACAGCAGATTTGTCCCTGTTTGTTTGCTTTGCCACTGCTGGGCGCGGATCCGCAGATAATGTTGGAATGGAAGGTGGAAAAGACAATAGGGGTGTTTGGAAAGGCTTCCAGAGGGATTTGAGGGTGGGACAGACCTGAACAGCTTATTTCCCACCCCCCAAAAAAATAAAAAAAACACTACAAAGGAAAAAACAAAAAGATTTTTGCAGAGAACCTGCCTCAAATCTTGCAAAGGTATTTGAGGAAGACAAAGCACCCGAGAATAAGTTTGATGCAGGCAGTAAAATCCATAGTTTGTGACCATTTTCTCCTCCCAAGTCTCCTAAAAAGCTAAATTGTTGTGGATTAAGAGGGCATGGCAAATTCTCCCTTTTCCAAGTCACAAGGCAAAGGCCTGTGAGGTCACGGATGACCTCCAGGAAGTAAACAGAAATAGGGAAGAGTTATTCCCTAGCTGGGACAGAAAGGAAGCCAGACTGTTTCCAGCTGACATGTTCCAGGAGCGGTTTAATGCCAGCTCTATTAATGGTCTTATTAGGCAATTTGAGGCACTAAAAAGCAAGAGACAATGCGACCGTAAAGCAGTGTTTTAATTAGCAAAGGTTCCTTCCCCAACCCAAATGGTTCCTTCTGTGCATTCGTATTCTCAAAACAACTCGAGCCGCCTTGTGCTTCATAAATCAAAAAACTCATAAAACAAGCCCATGCAATTGCACATTCCAGATAATGGTCCAGAAATAAATTAGGCAATAAATATCAAACAAAATAACCTCATCAGCAGTGGAAATCTTCTCATCAGAAAAACAGAAAAAATGCCTTCAAGCAGCCTATGCCTGGTAGCTCAAGAGAGGTAGAGCAATACAGAGCTTTAATAAATCTTTTAATGTGAAGAATAGCGGCAGCCCCCGTGCAATAGCTTTCCAAGCCCTGTATCCATCGGAGTAATGGTGTGTTCCTGATGCCACCAATGCCAAAAGGAAGGACATGGGACTGACAGCCTCTTGTCAAAGCCAGGCAGGGCTGTCCCCTAAATTAGCCCTGTCATGGGGTTTACTGAGCCCACACGGCAACTCACTGGCCCAGCTATAAAACCAGCCTTTTTTATGGGACTATCTTTAATACAAGGAAAAGGGGCAACCTGGGTTGCAGTGCCCAGTGCCACGCTGGGTCACACTGAGCGGCCGAGGGCAGGGACGATGCTTCTGGCATCCCGAACCTGCTGCCCAGCAGTGAATTTTGGGGCAAAACATGAGAAAAAGCCAAGCCCCTTGCTCAAGCCCATGCTCTCCTCCCCAAACCAATTTTCTCATATGCTTTAGAGACCTCCCTTTCCATCCCTTGATCTGGGGGGACAAGAACATTAAAGAGACCCATAGCTGCCCATACTACATGTGTCTTTAATGCAGCCAGCACCGTGCTGCTCCAGGACAACTGCTCCTTTGCAGCGACTGATCCCAGTGGCTTTGTAACCAAAACACCAAGTTTTAAGCCTGAATCTCCCCTCATTACCTAAAGGCACAGCCCAATACCACCAGTTTAGCAGCACATGGGTTTGGGGTGCGCAGTTTATTCAGAAAGCCACCCAGGCTTTGTATTTTTAATCCAAAGCAGCAGCATGAGGCCAAAAAACATCCAGTGTCAGCAATGCCAAAACCCTCTGCTACCCCGGAGCTCTGCAGCCGCTCTTACCTTGCCAAAATCCCGAACGTCAAAGAGGTCAAAGGGATCAAAGAGATCGCTGTTTCTTAACCCAAATTTGTCGTGACAGACTTTTAGGAATGTGCGAATGTTCTTCAAGCAGAGGAACTGCAGGGAAACAAAAGAGAAGGAAGGAAAAATGAGTAAGGCAGGCACAACTTTCATCGGAGCTATGCTAAATTCACACGTGAAACAAATTAACGGAAACATGGAAACTTGCACTGAGAAATGATGCGGTGGTTTATTTGTTGTTACCAAAAACGTCAGGCGCCCAGTGCCCTGTTCGGACTTCTGTGTTCTCAGCTGTGCACCAGGAGCAGATGCCCTTTTAAAAACCAAATTTCACAGTTCAAGCCTAAGGTAACGCTGCAGAACAGCCAGAAAACGTGACATGGGACATTGCACTTCAGTGGGCTATAAATTACACCTGATGCTCCATTAAGGGAAAAAAGAACAAAAATTGCATTTCTGATTCCACTGATGCCACCCTGCGCTTCCCTGCGGGAGCAGGGCACGGCCTTAACGCACATTCAACCGCAGGTCCACACGTAGGCACATGTGCCCCTGCGCACACGTGCCAAACAAAAGAGCCCAAAAAACCATAAAAACGGGACTTTGGGAATGGCTTGTGCAGAGCTTTGCTGCTAATTGCAGCCGCCTCTCTTGGGGCCACCTCCTGGGAT